ATCTCTCCCTCCTTCTCTCTCTCTCCCTCCATCTCACCCTCCATCTTTCCCTCCTTCTCTCTCCCCCCATCTCTCTCTCCCTCCATCTCTCTCTATCTCACCCTCCATCTCTTTCCCTCCCTCCTTCTCTCTCTCCCTCTCTCCCACCCTCCATCTCTCCCTCCTCTCTCTCTCTCTCCATCTCTCCCTCTCCCTCCATCTCTCCCTCCTTCTCTCTCTCTGAACCGGACCGCGCTCCCCTCGCCCCCCGGGGTGCCTGCCTGTCCGGGCCCCTCGGCGCACCTACCCATCGAAGCGGACGGTGCCGGTCTGCTGCGTCTGCACCCGGTAGTGCTCCAGCAGCAGGCGGACCACCTTGGCGTGCCCGTTGCGCGCGGCGATGATGAGCGGCGTGGACCGCTGCCCGCCCTGGTGCGTGACGTGGCCGAGCAGGTAGCGGACGTCGCCCTCGGAGCGGTTGAGCAGCAGGGCGGCCAGGGTCAGCACCCGGCCCTCGCTGGCCGCCTTGTAGACGTAGCCGGCCAGGCTCTCCATGGCCGCCTGCTCCTGCAGGGACCGCCACCGCGCCCCGCCGGCCTCCCCCGGAGGGGCCGGGGCCGGCCGGGGCTCCTCCCGCTCTCCCCCCTCCGTGGCTCCGCAGCGGGCGCGGGCATGCGGGCCGGCCCCCTTGGGGTCCGCGGGGGCGCCGGCGCTCCTCGTCGTCCCGCCGCTCCCGTCGCCCACCATGCGCGGCCGGTCAGACGGGCCCCATGGCCGGCCGTCTCCGCCTCTGCCGGGCAGCGCGCCTCCTGGGAAGGGGCCCTCGGGGCGCAGCGTCCGCCGGGAGCGCCGGAGCGCCCGTCCTGCCCGCCGGCCGCGATCCTGCAGGAGCCCCGCGGAGGGCGGGCGGCGGCGGAGGCGGCGGCGGAGGCGGCACCGGGAGGCGCTGCGAAGGGCCGAGCCGCGGAGGCCTTCCCGGAGCGCCCAGGAAGGAGGACGGGACGCTTCCTGGCATGCTACGGGTGCCCGGAAGGGTCGCAGCGCTGTCCCAGCGGAGGGGCGGGCTTGGTAGCTACGGAACGTCGGAAGCGCCCTCCCGGCCGTCCAATCGGCATCAGTTGTTCTTAGCGCCCTTGCATGGTCCCGGAACCTAAAGCAGCCGTCCAGTCCTCGGCAAAACCAATCCGTCCCGGAAACCGCTGCTCAGACGAAGTGGTTCCGGGGCCCGAACGGTCCTGGCTGCTGAGCGGTGGAGCTGTCTCCGGTCCGGCCTGGTTCCTTGGGGGGGGGGGGGGGAGTGGCAGGGTGGCGACGTGGATGGAGCAAATGTCACGCTGGCCTCCCTGCACGCGCCAAGCCGCGATTTCTTTGTGTTAAAAAAACCACAATCCTTCGATTGCAAACTACTATGGGGCTCCTTGATCTAAACCTGGCGCGTCGGTGCAAGCTCAGCCGTCAAAATCTTTTCAGGCTCTTGTTGGGCTCCGCAGCCTTTTGGGGGAATGACAAGGCTCTCCCTCCAAGCCACCAGCCCCGCAGCTGGCGTAAAACGTGACTGACACAAAACCCGCAGGACCTTTTGCAATTCCTGACCCGACGTCAGGATGAGATCCTTTCCTTGGTCCAAGCGTGGCAAGGGAGAACTTCTTTCCCTTCTGGCTTTAATTTAATCTCTGTTAAAATAACTCGACTCCCATGCAACTGAATGTGTGGCGTACACAACCCTGTTTGTTCCACTGGATAAATTGTGTTTTCACCCTGGTCTGTGATTGTAATAAACTCTGTCTATATGTTCGACCGTATGATAGGGGGACGTGTAGTTTTACTTCTAGGGCAAGAATATAAAAGCTCTATCTAAGCAGGATACAAAACTTGAAAGTTAAGAGAAAAGTGGATTCTGAGGTCCGGGTGGAATTTCCTATGTTGCACTGGAACTATTCAGCATTTGTCACTTGTTGTGTAAGTTGTCTCTTTTGGCAGAAATAGCAGCAGCATTGCTTTCCTTGTCTCTTGCTAGAGCTGCCTGTGACTTGCTCCAGAGGCCTTCAGGGGACCCAGCCTTTGTCCTGCTTTGTCATTTGTAGTACCAGCTGCCTCAGTAATGTGATCTTGCTAATTGGACCTGAGGCCTGTTCTATATTGGTTTCAGTAACAAAATGAATAGTTAATTCAGAGTCCTGCAACTGGAGAAGTTGCCACCTGTAGAAATAATACAAGGCCAATTTCATGTATTATGTACAGACCTGATTCAGCCACAAGACTCTTTCCACAGCCTGCACCAAAGAGGCATGGGCAAAAAGACTGCGAGACTCCCTGCTGCAAATATTTCCACTTGTTCTTCCCCCATCCCTCATGATCCTTGGTAGGATCTTTACTCTTAATCTCCCAGGATAGATTATCTGAATATGGTAATTCATGAGCAATGCACGTGCATCAAAGAAGCTCCTCAAATGTTCAGGCTGGCAGGCAGAGTTGTTATGCCACAAAAGCAGGAGTGAGAGGATTTTTTTCCCCATTCTTTGAGGTTTCTCACTGCATAAATATCGTCATAAATTGGATTGCTTCCATTCGAGAGTGAGCAAATTAAAGTTCAGGAGTGAGCCAATTGTTGCAGTGTACTCTGATTTGTGCAATTTTCAGTGTACTTATAAATATTGGCTTCATTATCATCATTTTAGCCATTGTTTGTGCACTGCAGGATGAAGGCCTCTTCCATGTTTCCAACCAATGCAGTCCTGAACTTCCTTTTGCCACTTGGCCCACCATCCTTACCGATGTCATCTTGTTTTAGGTCCCTTTCGTGGATCCTTTTGATCCAGTGGGATCCATTCTATGACTACCTTGGTCCACCTGCCATCATTTCTTCTTGCTATGTGACCAGCCCACTTCCATTGCAATTCTTTTATTCTCTTGATGATATACTTTAGTTCTCTAATCCACCTGCAGGTTTTTCTATCTTGTCTTGTAATACTGAGCGTGTATCCTTGCATGGCTGTTTACGCCGCTCACAGCTTTTTTATGGATTATGAGGTTAGTGTCTGTGTTTCATTGGCATACTAGAGCAGGTAGTATACACTGATCAAAAACGTTTCTCTTCGGGCAGAGACAGAGGCTGTTCTTGAAAATTATGCTTAGCTTACCAAATTGCCTGCCAGCCAGATTTCATTACTGACAGCAGCAGAATACCTTGAATGTGGAGGTAGCCAGAGTACTGTCAGATCATCCTCTTGCTCCTCAGCTATGCATCACTTAGGAACAAAGTTTGAATCAGAAGGAAGGTTGGACCACAAATTGCTGCTGCAAACTATCATAAAAGTAAGAGGTTGAAAACTCTTGGGTTACTGGCTCAGGTTTTAGATGGTACTAGTCTTATTTTATTGTCTTGTATTATCATTGACACATGAATATATGGAAGGTGAAAGTTTTCTGTTACTTGCTTTTTTACCACAAAACTCTTTCATGCCTAACTGAATTAAAGGGAAAAACACAGTAAAACACAGTCAAAAGGAGAGATTGCCTACAAAAAATGGTTGCTTTTTTCCTCCCCTGCCCTTACAAAGCAGAGAGATTGGAGAAAAATCTCAAAAAAGATCTGAAGAGATTAAGTTATTTTTCTTCTACAGCAGTGGTTGCCAACTGAGACAATTTTGGGGGGCCGCAGAGAAATCTCACCCCCAGAGCATCCCCCCAAAGCAATTAATCCAGGCTGTGCAGGAACACAAGGCTGCACCGCCCACATGGCCCATGGGAACCCTCTCTGCCCACTCACTCCTTACCAGCAAACTTGCCTGCTAAATTGCTATTTTTCCTTTTTCCAACCAACATCTGTTCTGCTGTGCCAGGAGATTTACTGTAGATTAGCTAGGAAGCAGGAAATGGTTGGATTTTGTGCTTTCTAGCTAGTCCTTAGATCTTTGGCTCTGCTTTTAAGTACAGCCGAATCTCCCTTAGGACTGAAGATTTGCTTGCAAGCACATTCAGTGCAGACTCAAGGCAAGCAAATTCGAGAGACTAGATAGATAGATAGATAGATCACTGAATGATTCTATGAGCAACTCAATCTGCCTGTCTGCTTTGCCTGATTTTGGGTAAAAGCTGCTTTTTTATAAAAAATCCAATATTTATATAAATTTCTATAAATATTGATACAAGCCATGCCCAGCCAGTCACATGATCACCGAGCTACACCCACAAATTAGGCCACACCCACAGAACCAGTTAGTGGTCCCTGGGATCTAAAATTATGCGTTTCGTGGTCCCCGAGGTCCAAAAGTTTGGCGACCCCTGGCCTAGATGACCTCCAAGGTTCCTTCCAACTCTGATTATCTGTTACTTTGTTACAAAGTTATTTCCCATTCAGGAGTCCGACAGGCCATGGATGAAAACCGTTCTTCAGCTATATATATATATATCCATCCATTCATCCATCTATATCTATATCCATACCTCTAAATCTCTATCCATCCATCCATATCTATATCTCTAAACATGTCTATCCATCCATCCATGCATCCATATCTATATCACTGAATGTCTGTCTATCTATCTATCTATCCATCCATCCATCCATCCATCTCTATATCTCTAAGTCTCTCCGGCCTCTCTCGCCCTTCCCCGAGGAGCGTCTTCTTTTTCCGCTGAGGTTCAGCCACAGAGCCCCATTTTCCCAAGCCATTTGCTCCCAGCCGAGGCCGGGCTGAGCTGATCCGCAGCCGGGGAAGCTGGATCAACCCGCCCGCCGTTCGGAGGGGCGGCCTTCAGGGCTGCTCAGACCGACTCGGGCTCGCCTTTCCCGAAAGCTCGGCTGGCGCTCTATTCCCCGGGACGGGCACCGGACCCAGGAGAGCCGCCGGGCTCCTCCCGGGCCCACAAAAACGTCCGTCCGGCGTTTGGCAGCCCCCCGACGGGGCGGCCCGTGGGGCGAGCGGGCGGGGTCGGAGCGGAGCGGGGCGCGGCGGCAGGGACGGCGCTGCGGGGCCGGGCGGCCAGAGGGGGCAGCAGACCTTCCGCCGAGCCGGGGCCGCCCAAGCCCGACCCGCCGCCGGAGCGTCTTTGCCCGCATGGCGGCTTCCAACCGGCGGCTGCCATGAACGGCGACCGCAGCCCCGCAGGAAGGGAGCCTCCCGCCGCCGCCGCCGCCGCCGCCGCGCGACTCCCGGCGTCCCTGAGGAGGCGCCACCCGGGCGGCCGCAGGTGCTCCGTCCGTCCGTCCCCACCCCACCCCACCCCCGGGACCCCCTTCCCGCCGCCGCTCCCGGCCCCGGCTCTTGCCCACGGCCGCCGAGCAGCCCCCCGTGGACGGGCGGGCGGGTGGGCGGGAGCCGCTTCCCGGGCCGAAGGGTCGCGACAGCCCAGCCGGAGGGGGCAACGAGGGGCCCCTTCGGAGCCGCCCGCGAGGGGAGCTGCGGGGCCCGAATGCCTTGGGAACCCCCGGCCCGGCCCGGCCGGTCTCGCCCGACGCCCCGGGACCCTCTTGCTGCCCCCCCCCCGAAGGGAAGCGGGGCGGGGGGTGGTTTTCTTCCTCGCTGCCTTTGCGGTTCGCCTTCTCCGCGGGGCCCGCAGAGGAAGCCCGGTTTTGGGACTCGGTTTTTCTCAAGCTCGGTCCCTTTCCAGGGGTGGCCGGACTACAACTCCCAGCCACTGGGAATGTGGCGGCTGATGGCTGGGAATGCTGGGAGTTGAAGTCTCTCGCGCCCGAGGTTGAGGAAACTCCGAAAGGGGCTTCCTTTTTCCCCCGCCCCCCGCGACGCCCGGACTGCGGGCTCTCTCGCCCTTCCTGGAGGCTGAAGCGCAAGCTGCCTCTTGAATATTCCCGGCGGAGCAGATTAAACAGCTAATCAGAGTTGGGAGGGACATTGAAGGTCCTCTAGTCCAACCCCGCCACCGCCGAAGCAGGAGACCCCACGCCAGGGGGTCTTCCGACTAGATAGCTTTTAAGACTTGTGGACTTCAACTCCCAGAATTCCTCCTCCAGTCATGTTAGCTCAGAGATTCTGGGAGTTGAAGTCTGTAAGTCTTAACACTTGCCAAGTTTGAAGACCCCTGCCATGCACCGTTTCTGACAGATGGGAGTCCAGTCTCTTCTTGAAAGCTTCCAGTGGTGGCCCTCCCAAACCCGGCCTTTTTCCCTTGTCCCAGGCCGTCCCTCCGGCCCTCAGTCCACGAGGGTCGTGCAGGATTCAAGTGGTTTTTTTTTGGCTCAGGCAGGGCTCCCCCAAACTTGGCCACTTTAAGGCTGGTGGGCTTCAACTCCCAGAATTCTCCAGCCGGCTATTTATATATGCCCACGCCATGAGGATAAATGACAAGTTTTGGAGATGGCTTATTATATATGCTGGTTGCTGATGAAAGCAAACTGGCCTCTTGCTATGATGCCGCATGTTGTTTTCCTCATTATCCTCATTTTTACTGCTTCGTTGCCAGTGTAAACTTGCCTCAACATTCGCTAAAACTTTTCTTTCTAAAAGAATTGGGGGCAGGGAAGCGTAGATGAGCAAATGGAAGGAAGAATATTATTTGTTCTGTATCTAGAGACAAAAGGAGAGGCAAAGCGGCGTTTCTGAAGGAAAGTGAAGATGACAGGAGGAACTTGCTGAGCTTGGAAAGAAGCTCTGGATTCATATTTTTAGAGAACTTGAGGATAAAAAGTGTTAAAAATAAACACAATGGTTAAACTTCACTCCGTGCATTAAGTCAGAGGTCTCCAGAGCGATGCTGGCTGCAGAATTCTGGGAGTTGAAGTCCACCAGTCTTAAAGTGGCCAAGTTTGGAGACCCCTGAGCTAAGGTTTGGTGGCATTTTGCACTCCTTTCCTTGGACCCGCCAATCTGCTCTGGGTTGGTTCCTGTCATCATCCGTCCCGTTCTCTTCGCTCCCTGCATGTTAGGCACGCGGGATACCAATGAAAGCGAAGCGGGCTGAAGCATTTCACAGAGTTGGAAGGGGCCCTGTATGGGTCATGTAGTCCAACCCCTGCCCCCAATATATATTCGGTCTTCATTGTGAGTTGTGCTGGGGAGGGGTGTACAAAGGGAGGCTCAGCCAATTTCATCGCACACAGGTTGTACTCTGACAGTAACGGTTGATTGATTTACAACGGTAGAGCTGGCAATTCTGAAAAGGCACATTCCAGGCTGGCTTCTTTTTTTAACCATCTTACATTAGACATTCTGGATTTAAAGTCATGAAAATGGGCTAATTTCAGGGGAAGGAAGCAATCTGTGTCTTTAGAAAAATCAGACATCCAAGGAGCATTAAAATGGACATGAGCAGCAGCGAATTTTTTGAGGCAAAGAGGGGTCTTGACTTAATGGATTCTCCCCCCCACCATCAATCCTTGTGGCATCTTGGGGTCAGGCAGGGGTGTCACCATAATCTATGATTAAATGAAAACAAGATATGTGCCAGGATTCCGGCAGTGACTCCCATTTAAATCATGAATATTGAGCCAAACTTCCAAAACTTCAAAAGGATTTATGGGGAGTTAACATGTCCGGCACTGTCTGAGTGTGGCCGACTCTGAGACACATCATTCATTGTCACCCTTGACCCTGGTTTTCCCCCCACCCCCTGGGCGTATCATAATTCATATTCTCCAATGGGACACATCCATAGCCCAGAGCCATCAATCATGTTCTCCAGTTAGAATTTTGCGTGGCAGAAACTTCAGTCACCTAGTTACTATCTTTGAAAACATTCATGGAATGCAGTTTCAGTTTGCAAGCTGCCACACTGCTCCCCTCTCCCTTTCTGTTGGTAACTCTAAAAAGACCATAAAACTCGTATTTTATGAGTTGAAAGTAAAGCTGTTTTGACACGACGCGCATAAAAACAGCTGGAGCTTTGATCACACCACCATGGCTGCTGTTTCGATTTTTTTTAAAAACCCTGCTGAAACTGCTAAGGACAGATGATCCTGTGGCGGCCAAAGGTTAGTGCGCCTGCATTCTGGGATGCACCAAGCCAGCCCAAGATGCAGTTCACAGAGATCAACTGAATTATGGCTCAAACAAGTGTGGAGACAGCTGCTGTGCCACCTTCAACAGGGAGGGTGGTAGAAAAAGATACCTTTTCCTCGCTTTTGTGTCTGTGTGTGTTTGTGTTGGTTGGCCTGACTTACATCCGTTGCCTTCCCGCTTTCACTCCCAGGCATGGAGCGATCCTCAAGGATGATGTTTGCAGGGATTCGTGCTTCCATTTTGATTTGTGGTTTTATTTCACTCTGCAAAACTGGGTCCTGGACTTTGGCCGGCCCATTGCCATGGTGAGTACCCCGGGGATGAGGTTGATTGACGTTAAGGGTTCGGAGGATGTAGAGGAAATGGCGCCTCTCCCTTGTTCTTCTGCCTTTCTCCAAATTGCATCAAATCTGTTCAGTTTTGTGAATGAATGAATGAATGAATGAATTCTTTATTGGCCAAGTGTGATCAGACACACAAGGAATTTGTCTTGGTGCGAATGCTCTCAGTGTACATAAAAATGTATATTCATCAAGAGTCAAGAATCATAAAGTACAACACTTAGTAATAGTCACAGGATACAATAAGAATAGAATAGAGTAAAGTAGGGTAGAATAGAGCAGAACAGAGCAGAGCAGAGCAGAACAGAACAGAACAGAACAGAACAGAACAGAACAGAACAGAATAGAATACTTTATTGGCCAAGTGTGATTAGACACACAAGGAATTTGTCTTGGTGCAAATGCTCTCAGTGCACATAAAAAGAAAAGATATGTTTGTCACCTGTAACCCAGGAGGGAAAAGAAGGCACCGCGGGCAGGACAGAGGTAGCCGAGCAGCTGGCCGGCTGGCTGGGCAGCCGGGTTCATGGTGGGAGGGGCTTTTGCTGAGCCCAAGATGGTTGTGGGGGTGAGGCACTTCGGTGTGACAGAGGGAAAACGTTGCTCCTCTTGAAAGTCCAGCCTGGCTGTTTGCTCCATTCTCATTTTAAAATGTTTACAAAAATGGTTTTACTTTGAAAGAAAAGAGAAAGGGGACATAACATGCTACAAAGCTTCCAGAATCACCTTTATTTTCAAGAAATCCTGGAAGTAAATTTTCAGTCTGATCTCTTTATCCTCATCTTGACATGCGTGCTCACAGGAAGCTAACTAGTACAGCCCCTGAATACGCATTTGAGTGTGAGGTCAGGATGGTGTGTTACACGCCGTTCTACAAATACGTCAACATGTCCCTTGGTTGATAGGCGTGCAAGGATGGCGGTGCTTCAATTTTTCAATGTAAGCGGTTTGTCGCTTGCAAATCCTCCTCCATATTCTGTAACGCATTTGGCAAAGAAGATTTGGGATTAGGATGTTTGCGTTGCTCTGAGATTAATTTTTCTTGGCATTGGCTTTTGACATTCCCTCCCTCTGTCTCTCTCGCCCACACAAACACACAGAGAAGAATATCAGCAAGCCAAGAGGGCCTTTATGGTCGACAGAAATCTGCCACAGAGAGCCCACCAGTTATGAAGGGGTGGCACAGCCTCCCTTTCTTGCTTCTTGCTTTATGCGCGCATGTGTGTGTCTCCCTCTGCAGATCGTCCTTCCCCTGGAGTGGTTTCCCCTGAACAGGCCGAGCGTGGGGGATTATTTTCACATGGCCTATAATATCATCACACCCTTTATTCTCCTGAAGGTAAAATAGCTGCTGGATTCTTCTTGCACAAAGTCGTCTAGGACAGTGTTGCTCAACCTTGGGGATTTTTTAAGATGTGTGGATGTCAGCACCCAGAATCCTCCCAGCCTTCATCTCCTTCGTGACTAACCCAAGAAAATCGGTTTGAAAAGATGGTTGAGTGAGTCCCAGAGGAAGAACCAGGAGAGAGAAGGCTGTCGTGTAGACGCCAGTCCCTCACTCCTCGTGATGGGACCGGAGGCCGATGTTTTGGCAACAGCCAAAAAGAGAGCAGAGAGGCTGAATCGGTCTGGTGTGATCTCTAGGGCAGCCCCGGGTCAGCAGCTCCTCCACCGCATCCCCCCTAAATGGGTTGTCTCGCTAGTTTTAAGGGGAAAAGGGGCCCCCAGGGAACTTCCTCCATTCTCAGTGGGGGCAGGGCAGGGAGATACCGCTACCTCCAAGGGGGGGGGGAATTTAGGTTGAGGCAGCCCCCTCTTCTGCGGAGACTTTTTCCTCCGGAACAGTTTCTGACGGCTTTGGTGGGAGTTGGATTCCTCTTAGGAAAGGGGAGAAGGGTTTTGGGGGACTTTGGGGAGGGGCCTGACTTTGCTCCCCAGCCTCAGACCCCGGTGGCTTTGTGTGCAGCTGATGGAGCGCTCTCCCAAGGCTCTTCCCCGGTCCATGGTGTATCTCTGCATCATCATATTCGTCATGGGGGCCAGCATCCACCTGGTGGGCGACTCTGTCAATCACCGACTGATCTTCAGCGGCTACCAGCTCCACCTGTCCGTCCGAGAGAATCCAATCATCAAAAATCTCAAGCCGGAGACTCTGGTGAGAGAAAGAAGTTGGCTCGCTCTGCTTGTGACTCCTGACACTGCTAGTCTGGCTCCGTCCCTCCCTCCCTCCCTCCCTCTCGCTCTCGCTCTCCTTCGGTTATAAGCTGAGGACTATCTGTCACAACGGCCATGCTAAGCAGAGCTCTTGGCCGCCTGGCTCACCTGCCTTCGGTCTCTGGACTCTTCCATTTCCTTCCTTTCCAGATCGACTCCTTTGAACTGCTCTACTATTACGATGAGCACCTGGGACATTCCATGTGGTGAGTCTTGGCTGCGTGTGGAACCGGCTCCCTTTCCCCGTGGCTGCGGGAAAAAAACGTGGCCTCACCTGGTCCCGTGGGCTAAGAAGGCACGCAAGATGGGCAGTTGGGAGAGCCGGCAGCCTTGGCTCAGGTGCCTCCCTTGGCGTTCCCGTGGGGCTTGCCGCTCGTCGTGTTAAACCTCCTTTAGAGTTACTTCATCTCCTTTCCTTCTTAAAAAGATTTCGCAGCCGCCCCTCGGGGCAAAATACTCAGCCCCTTCCCAAGAACAGAAATGCACAATTACACCTACTCTGAAACAAAGAGGAAAAACAGGGCCAGCCGGTCCCGAGCCTAAAGTCTTGGAATCTAATCTGGGATCCTTTTCTTCACATCCTGAAATATTGGTCTGCTTGGCTGCATTGTTCCCATGCAGTTGATTTCTTGTAATATGCTCCGTCTGTGGAGTTTGTGCCACCCAATCTCCTTGGGTAGACTGGAGGTACATTTAATCAATGCATTAAGATAGATAAGTAAATAATAAACCCCAGTGGGTTCCCCACCGCTTGACATCTTTCTAACAAGATCTTAATTGATCAAGAATTAGAATCATCATCATCTTTAACCACCCCATACTGCCTTGTGGGGTGGAGTCTGGGCAACTGAATAGAGCAAGCAGAGTGTTGGAATGGCCAGATGCCCTTCCTGTTGCCAGTGAGGAGTTTTGTTCATCAGATAATATTCTCAGTGTGCCCAGAGAGAGAAACAACTGCCTCTACCTAGGATCGAACTCATAGCCTCCTGATTGTGAGGTGAGAGCTCCACCTCTAGGCCACCTGGCCAAGAATTAGAATAATATTAGAATAATAGAGTTGGAAGGGCCCTTGGAGGTCTTCTAGTCCAACCCACTGCTCAAGCAGGAGACCCTATAACATTTCAGGCCAGTGACTAGTTTCTTCCTAAAAACTTTAATAATTAATCTGGTCACACCTGCATTACTGCTCCTGCTCAGCCTTTTGTGGAGCTGCTGGCTAGGTGAGACTTTCCACCAGGTAGGCCTGCACTTGTCTGAGCCCTCCTGGTGGGCTGTGAGAACCATGAGGGATGCGACAAACCAACAGTGCATTTTGATTGAGTTATCAAAGCCTAAATCAAGGATTTTTGGTGCAGGATTGCTTACTTAAATCCGTTTCTACTGCATTTCCCCATATTATTGGTTGGTAATCGGTGTTTCAAGCTCTTGGCATAGTTATTTCCCTTCTTTTCGTTAAGAAGTCCCTGGACTTTTGCCAAACAGGACTGTGGATTCTGTGAAAGGGATTTGGAGCAAGCCCGTCCTGCTTTGCGCGCAGAGCCCAGTTCTCTGTGATTCACCAAAGCGGCCCCTCTGTTTCCAGCTCTCCACATGACCCCGAGGAAAAGGTGCTGCTGCAGCTTTAAGAATCCTGTTCGTTTTAGTGGTTCGGGGCCTTAAAGCCACAGGATCTTCTTCCTGCCTGCGGAAACCAGTCAGCCGCCAGAGACGATAGAATACAGAGCTGAAAAAAAGCGGCTAAGACTCAGGAGGAATCTGTTAGTGCAACGTTTCTCAACCTTAGAGCGGCTTGAAGCTGTGTGTCAGTCTTGCCCCAGCTAGGTCCCTAGGAAAGAAAGACCCTCAACTCCACTTGGTTGAAGTGATAGGTTCTTTGACTGAGGATTAGTGGCTGCAAACGAAATGAGGCAAGGCTAAAGTTCCAGCGTGAAATGTTACGGTATTTCCCCCTTCTGCCTGTCCCTCCCCTCTTCAACGATCCGTCTTCGTCCAGTGGCGTTCCATGCAGGTGTTTTGGGAACCGCTTGGATATTCCATGCCACTCAATGCAATTCCCATTCCTTTCCCAGGCTCTGCGGCCTTGAAGGCTGGAATCGGCCAGTTTTCACACACACACACACACACACACACACACACACACACACACACACACACCCCTTGCTCATCTCTACCTTCTATACGCCAATTGCTCACTTCCCCTCCCCCTTAACAATTTATGGAAGGATGTCAGCAAAGATGGCAGATTTGACAATGTGTGAATTTCGACTCCAAGGATTCCCCAGTCAGCTCTGCTGGATAGGGGATTCTGGGAGTGGAAGTCCATCCATCTTCCAGCGGGTAAGATTGAAAAATCTTGCGTTAGTGCCTTTTCTGACCAGCACATTTCATCCAAGTCATATGTCTTTGAATCTAAAAGGGGCGGCTCAGAAAAGGCGCTCCTACACTTCTCTGGATTATTTTTGGCCACCAAAGATGAAAGGGGCTCTCTTCTTACAAGTGAGAACAGGTTTATGATTACTGTAGGCTGGCAGGATTCCTGTTCCGGCTTAAATGTCCAGTCAAAATGGCTGGGTATTTCTGAGGGGTACAAATGGCAAAGGGAAGAAAATAGGGCTCTCTCACCGCTTGGTCACACTGCTAAGAACACTAGATACTCAAGGATGTAGGCACTGAGGCATCGAGTATCTTTATTGGGTCAAAAGAGGGTGAGGACTTCCAGGCTCTCAAAACTGTCTCTTCAGGCCATTAAACAGCTACTTTGTCCACTTGCCAAGCCAGAGGAACTGAAACGAGGTGTTAAAAACAGCAGGAGGCCCCTTTCCGCCTTATCCCTCACAACCTCTTGCGATGTTGTTCTCTTCACAGGTACATCCCCTTCTTTCTCATTCTGTGCATATATTTTTCCGGCTGCTTCATACCCTGCAAAGAACAACAGCCGAGAATCCCTGTGGCTGCTTTACTCCTCATTGGGCCCAGCAGCCTCTATTACTGGTAAGTGAGCCCAGGTGACACGAGAAGGTAACGAAACCAAGCCAGGTGTATCTGCTTGTGAGACAGTTGGTATCTCAGCTGGTGTCGGAATATCCCAAGTGGAACATAGAATAATAGCTGGAAGGGGCCTTGGAGGTTTTCTAGTCCGATCCGTGGCTCAAGAAAGTGGACAAACAGCTGTCCAATATTTTCTTTAAAACCTCCAGCGATGGAGACCCCACAACTTCTGGAGACGAGCTGTTCCATTAATTAATGGTTCTTATGTTAGGTGCATGTGTAAAAACTAATCTAGGGCTTATTTTCGGGAAAACACGGTAACAGGAAATTTATCCTTAGTTCCAGGTTGGATCTCTCTGGTAATCTTCCATCTGTTACTTCTTATTGTACCCTCAGGTGCTTCGAAGAATAGGTCAACAACTTCTCAGTGACCGTCCCTCAAATATTAGAAAAAGTCACCCCACAACTGCAGCAAGAAAGGTCATACAATGGGACAAAGCTCACCTAACAAATGTCTCATTAGCAGCTGACATTTTGGGCTCCATTGTGGTCCTAAGTCCAGGAGTACTATATAAGTCAGGGGTCCACCAAACTTGGCAGCCTGAAGACTGGCGGACTTCAACTCCCAGAATTCCCCAGCCAGCCGTACCCGTTTCTTGACCTCCGAAAGTGGAGAGAGAGATTGCAGAGGAAGGGATTACAAGAGAGCAAGCTATGCTGACTAGATAATTCTGGGAGTTGAAGTCCACAGGTCTTAAAGTGGCCAAGTTTGGAGACCCCTGGTACAGGTGAAGAAAGGAGTTGGGACGAGAGTGTCAAATTAGACTATGCCTTCAGTATTAGGTCTGCCCGCTACCCCTTCCCCCTTGAGAAGCTCACCCTGACCTCGTCCTGGGCTCCCTCCCTCTTGCAGGTACCTGGTGACGGAAGGCCAGATCTTCATCCTCTTCATCTTCACCACCTTCGCCCTGGTGGCCCTGGTGATGCACCAGAGGCGGAAGGGCCTCGTCATGGACAGCAACGGCCGCTTCCTCTTTTACTCCTTCCTCCTCGCACTGGGGCTGGTGGCCCTCTGGATCGGCTGGCTCTGGAACGACCGGATCCTCCGGAACAAATACCCCGGCATCATCTACGTCCCTGAACCCTGGGCCTTTTACACCTTGCACTGGAGGGATCTGCCCCCCACGAAGGCCGAGAGCTTTTGATGCGGTGGCTGCTATGTTATTTTGGGGGCACGGGGTCCTTTGGGCGAGCCAGCAGGGTTTGGGGTGGTGCCCGCAGAGGCCAGAGAAGGGAGGCTCGGCGTTCCTCCCGTCCACGGCTGTTAGGCCCACAGGAGCCTGAATCTGTGCGTGGATTAATTTGGAAGCAGGTTCTCCCAAACTGGGGGCTCCTCCAAATCAGTCTTCATTGGGAGCCCTAGACCAGAACAAGGGCTCTGGGAAGACCCCTTGGAACCTGAACGAGAATCTACCCAATCTGCTGATCTGACATTCCTTTTGCACCAGGGTTTGTATTTTCCCCCCATGGTTTAAGTCCTGTGTGATTGAGGAGATGTCTGGTCTATGTAGAGTTTGTCAGAGGATGTTGGCTGGAGAAGAGAGCCCTGGAGACCCTGTCTGACTTCCGATGTTCAACCTGTCCCCTCATTTTACCTCATTTTGCCTTTTCCAATCTATGCAGAGATGGAAGAACCTCTTATTTCGTGCCGCTGCTCACTCTTGCTAAGTACGGTACGACGGCCTCTGCCTTCCGTTCTCAACCAGGTCTTTGATAGCTAGTTTGGTTGTTTACTCCTCAGGTTCATGGTGCAGGTAGATAGTATTAAGTCTGGTGAATTTTGAAACGAGATAAAAGCACTGAAGATTTTGACTTCCAGCCTCCTGGTTTTTGCGCTCACTAACATGCACAAGCAGCCGATACGGCTGGAAAGGAGAGAGATTCAGTCAGCGGTGCAAAAAGCATCAGGTACTGCAAACATGAGATTAGGAGTAACAGACCTGCAAGAGAGGCTGCAAAGGGAGGTCAGAGAGCAGCCACCACATGCAAAGAGGCTGTCTGGCCCTGTACAGGTAGTCCTCAATTTGCAACAGTTTCATTCAGTAACCAAAGTTACAACAGCACTGGAAAAAAAAAGGAACTTAGGACCATTTTTCACACAACCATTCCAGCATCCCTCTGGTCACCTGGCCAAAATTCAGGTGGCAGCTGACTCGTATTTATGACCATTGCAGCGTCCAGAACTCATGTGATCCCCTTTTGCAGCCTTCTGACAAGCAAGGAAGCCGGATTCATTCAAGAACCGTGTTGCTAATTTAACCATTCCAGCGATTCCCTTAACAACTGTGGCAAGAAGGGTCGTAAAACGGGGTAAAATTCGCTGAACAAGTGTCCCGGTTACCAACAGAAATTTTGGGCTCGATTGTCCAGGACTACCTGTAGTTTATGGTCCCTCCTAGGAAGGTTCCTGGCCTTGATGATGACACCCTAACTAGCAAATTATCTATTCCCAGTAGAGAATAAGAATTATGGTCCTAAAGTGGCTCAGCCAGCGTTAGCTCTAAATTAGATGATTTTTTTCACCGATGAAGCCCACCAACCTCTAAACCAGTCGTATTGTCAATAACTCACAGCATCTTTTAGAATGGCTTTGTGGCTTTGCTGGCTGAGGAATTCTGGGAGTTGAAGTCCACAAGTCTTAAAGTTGCCAAGGTTGGACACCCCTGTTTTAGAACTTTAAGCCGAGGGAATGGTGGTAGAAGTAGCCGCTGTAGGGTAGACAGATCTTCTTCTGGTCCTTTTCTCTTGAAGAAAAGAAACCCTTTTCAAAACTATGGTTTCTCCTTCCCTCCCTTTGAATACCCGAGTGGGAAACCCCACACAATGCGCAGAGACAACCTTTAAAGTTACGAAATTCTTCACTGGAACATTTTTTTGCGGGGGGGATGTGCACAGGGAGGGGGAAAAAAAACAACCTTAAGAGGACTCTTGACCACAGAATCAAAGCCCCCTGCACTGGTCTGCGAATGCACTCCATTTGATTAAGCAAGACCCCCCCCCCACACCCTCAGGGCTTCAATTACACAATTGCACCCCCCTGACTCTCTCACTCCCTCTCAGGTGGTCCTGTTCGTTGTTCTTGCGTTTTGGAAACTTAGAGCAGGTCTTTTGCAGCACAGAAAGAAGGCATTCACGATTTGAGCCATTGTGAAGTCCGTGGTAAAATATGCCCAGATTGTTGCTAAGAAAAACATGGACATTTCTGCACGGTCAGCAAAAACACAGCTCAGCTAGAGCGACTCTCTTCCTTTTAATAGTGGACAAAGTTTCTCTGGCTTGTGAGGGGCCAGTTTCGGCATTCACGTTTATCGTTGAAAGGAAACCTCTTAGAAAATTTCTGTGCGGAAATTGAAAAAAAGAAAGTTATTTTTTTATTTATGATTTTGATGTTTAGCTAGGATAGATTATAGAAAGAAGAGTCTTGTGGCGTAACTTGAGAGAGAAAGGTTAAAATGTAATTGTATTGCAGTTCTTCAACTGCTGTGAAGAATATCAGAGGTCACTGTGGTGTATCTTTTTTTCTTTTCTGTATAGCTTTTTCCTTTTGTTGTAATTTTTTGCTTTTTCTTTGCTTTCTTTCATTTTCTCTTCTTTATATATGTTGCATTAGTTTATATTTTTTAAAACTCTTGAATTATACGAGGAAAAAAGGAAATTCTAGAGCCGTGATGGCACGTGTGCCACAGGTGGCATGCGGAGCCATTTGTGCCGGTACATGAGTTGCAGGCAAACTTACCTCACTGCACATGTGCGCACCTCACAGCTGATTTTCAGCCAGGTTGAGGCCTTTCTCGGCCTTCCAAAGGCTTGAGGAAGGCTTCTGCAAGCTTTGCAGGCCAAAAACTAGGCCCGCTTTGTCACTTCCGGTATTTTCGGAAAAACAGGAACTGATGAAACGGGGCTAGTTTTCGGCCTGCAAAGCCTGCAGAAGCCTTCCTCAAGCCTTTGGGGGGCTGAAAAAGGCCTCAAACCGGCCGAAAATCAGCTGTGAGACTCTGTAGGTAAGGGTGTGTGGGGAGGCTTGCACACACATGCATAAGGGGGCGTGGGGAGGCACACGCATTGCCTTCTGGGTGCTGGCGTGCGAGCACAAGCGTTGCAAGCACACGCACAATTTTTGGCACAGGGAGCCTAAAAAGGTTAGCCACCACTGTTCTAGAGGATGCTAAATTTGAGAAGGCTGTGCCAGCATATTATGCGCTGAATGAGGTCATCTGCGCACGGCCATAATGATGCCACT